GGAATGCCGTTGTAATGTGAATAATGCGTTATATGTTATTATTGAATGAAAAGAAAAAGAAAAAAAAAAAAAGACGCATGGAGCAATTCTTAAATGCTATAGGATGTTTTGTTTAAAGGGGACCAGATTGTTCTATTTGCGGATAAAGTTTGGAAGTTCACGGGTTCAGGGAAGATGAAATGCCGCTTCATGTTAATTACGGATTTTGCAGTTTACATTGTCGACCCTGAGACCGATTCCCTTAAACGGAGGATAGCCCTTGCAGCGGTTGAGAAGATTTGTCTCAGTGAACTAAGTGATAACTTTCTTGCAGTAATAGTTCCTACGGAGTATGATTTACTTATAGCTAGTGCTAGAAAGAATGAAATCATCACTGCCTTTGTTGAAGCTTATGAGCTCGATGTCGTTCCTTCCAATAGGTAATTTGAATTTACACTTATTGCTTTGATTCACCCATTATCATTGTATGTGGTTGCTTGCATGATCTAGCCACTGGGCGTGTTTGGGGAAAATGTCAGAATGTGGGGCAAAAACAGTGATGCCTTTCTGGTCTGGATTAAAAAATAATTATAGTTTCGAAATTTTGTAAATACACATGCTAGCAAACACCATTGAATTTTTGTGCTCTGAAGGGAAATGGCATACTTATAATTTAACTTCAGAAAATCAACAGATTTTTTCCTTGTTTCTGCAAATCTTGTTACATTACATGTTACTTTGTTGAGCTGCATTTTTCTGTTGTGAGCTACTGATTGATGTTTTACACTATAAAACACAAACAGAAAACCCAGAGATCATAAGATTTGTAGTTATGTATGAGAATTATGGTGCATTGCTGATGGGAATTCCAAGTAATTTGTCGTGCCATTTGAAAAGTATCCTTGACTCCTGTAAAGAATGCTTCTCATTATCCCTTTTCTGAAGTCCTAATACTTACAAGGTAAGATAGGTCCTGATGTGCGTGAAAATGACCCCTGGGTATACACACATGCACACCATATACCTGCATGGCAGATGTCTGCAACACCACTGCATTCCCTAATCCCTTAATTCAAGGAATTATTAGATAGTTAGAATTGTAATAACTAAAGCCAGTTTAAAATTTTTTCTAACAAGTTTGGTTAGTGTTTTGTGTGGTCTTCATCGCAATTTTTCTGTTGTAAATTCTGTCAAAGTATTGTTTTCACTTTTCAACAGTTATCATGAAACTTTCTTGAGTTTTAATCTATCACTAAATACATGTATCACAATTCCTTTGTAGGTTTCAGTATAATGCTGCATCTGACTTGGTCAAGGAAATTGAATTTGAGGAAGTTGAAGGTATGTGGCATAAGTATTTTGGTTTCCTTTATTTATTTATTTATTTTCTTTTTAAGATGTGAGGAGGGGGGAGGTGCATGGAAGGGGAGTTATCATCTCTGTTACCATTCCATGCTTCTTATTTCTCTGGTATATAGTACTTGCTGGCCTATTTGTATGATGCTTCTCTAATTTCTCTTTTAATGAATTTCAGGGGGTGTGAAAACAAGAATTTTGAGGAAGTGAATCTCATTTGTATTTCCGTGATACTGTCTGTAAACTTGGTAGGAGATACATACAGGAAATGATTATTGAGCAATTGTGTAGGAAAGGTTCTTTTGGGTATAGCGTTTCCTTTTCCAAAGGTTAATTGCAATATTATTCTTATATTAGAAAATTTAAAAGAGCAGAAATATATACATGGTTTAAGCTACAACTTTAAACCAGATTCAGCTGGATGTATTCCTATTTCGTATGTAGCCTGTGTCCTTTGTGTTAGTCTTTAGCCATTTATTGTGGAAACTTCACGACTTCCTTCTGGTATATATACATTCAATCACTTGCTCATCAATTTCATGTAGACCTTGCTTTTAAGGTAGTAGTATCACTTACTACCTTGATGTTAAACATACTTTAATTTGCGTCAGCATCCCGTTATAGAAGCTCAGTCTCTGTTTTACAACTAAAGGGAATAATGCAAATGGTGAAATTGCATTCTAAGCCTCTACAAGCTGGTGAAATTGGTTAAATTGTATAAAGGCTGAAAAAGTAACACGTGCAGGTTTCAATGATGCTAGCACATTTCTTATTTCTTCCACTCACTAGTTTACAGAAACTGCACGGGTGAAATTACTACCATATGCTTTAATCTTTTTAGGCTCCCTTTGTATTGAGTCGAAACTACGTTTGTTTAAAGTAAAAAATTCTTGCTGCCGTTCGACATGCGTAAGAATTAAACACGCATTCAGATGTTAGTTTTGCCTCGTCATTCGCGTCCGGGTGGCCAAAAAAAGATTAAGTAAACGATCTCTATTATAAATTATAATATTGTTGCGGACAAGGCTCGTACCTCGTGGTTCATCTGCAGGCCCCAAAAACCTGCATCCGTCTCTCTCTCTCTCTCCTTTTCCCCCAAAATAGAGGAATTAATAAATTTTCCCAGTGTTTGTTGATGCAAGGTTTTAGAACAGATTTCTTTACACCGTTCGTACATATTTATATAACTGAGAATTATCAGCGTTAAAAAATACTTCTCCCTTTCTCAATTTCCAACCAGTGATGAAAAACTTTTACATATTCCGTTTTGTTTTGATTTATCAGAAAGTAAGTTGGTGCGATTTTAGCTTTATTCATGTTAAGGTTTAATAAGCACTACCAAAAAATTATGAAGTATGAAAGGATTTTTTTTTTTTAAAAAAAAATATCGACTAGTGGAACAAATCTGTGGCATGGAATAGTTTAACCAAATTTTGATGTTTTAATCGATTAAAGTTTTTTGGGAAGGAATTACTGAATCAACGTATTAGGTTTATTTTGTGCAGTTCATGACAGCACTAGTCACGGTCATTGTCATGGTGGATCCTTGCTCCACAAGCATAACTACCCTGAAGACAAATAATCACTATCAAAGGGACCCAATTTGATATGCCAATATGTTTTACTAACTTGCAAGAACCATTAGTCCATTAGATTGATATCATTTCTCCTGTTATGAATATGATTGAAATTGATTACAACTCAACAAGAATCTCATTGTTGAACAGAAGTAGGTGTGCCAACTGCACGAGGGGTTGGCGTAGAAACTTCTGATCTAGACTCAGTGGATGGTAGATTTGGTGTATTTACGCGGCGAATCTCCTCCATCATTCTCTCCACTTCAGGCATCTTTGGTCTCTGATCCGGTATTCTTGCAGCACAAGCCATCCCTATTTGCAGCATCCCCACCATTTCTTCCTCTATGTTTGGATACCTCAACAGCTCTACATCAAACACTTCTGCAGTCCACTCCTCTCTAACCACAGAATTCACCCATCGAACCAAGTGGACAACCTGGTCCCCTTCTGTGCTGCTTACAGGAGATTTCCCTGTCAGAAGCTCAAGTAGAAGAACCCCAAAACTGTACACATCAGATGCATGAGTTGTTTTGCGCGTGTCTGTTACTTCCGGTGCACGGTATCCTGTTGCTCTCATTGATGGAGCGGGTATTGGACTCATCAATGTTGCCAAGCCAATATCAGATATGCATCCATATCCTTGTGAGTTGAGGAAGATGTTTGAGGCTTTTATGTTTCCATGAACGAGTTTACCTCCATGTTGAGCATGGATGTGAGCAATGCCTCTTGCTGCACCTATTGCAATTCTCAAACGGCTATCCCAGTCTAAAGAATTTCTGCCTTCCCCTCCTTTTCCTGCATATTGGACATGCAACAACATGCTCAGATTAGCCACTTCCAGGAAGGTATATATATGAAGAGAGCCTCATAATTGAATCCAACTTGTTATTATAACTTAATAAGAAAGACACATGAGGAAAACAAATGAATATTGGCCAAAATCAACTCATGTCACAGATTGAATTGCTTCCCTGACTTAGTAGTACTCATGATTTATCAAGTTAATGCACACATAAATAACAAACTACAAGGTGAGATTAAATGTGAGAAAGACACACCGCATAGGATTGCAGTTTTATACCTAGTGGTTTAAACCTGGACACGCTTAATGAAACAATTCATATTATTTATAAGATTGCATCAAGCCAAATTTCCACTTTGTTAGCTTCTTGAGAAAAAATAGAGAAGCCGAAGATAAATTAAGTAAGAGAAAAGGTTCAACATACCATGTAACATTGCAGAAACGCTGCCTTGTTGATAATAATCATATACTATGAGTTTCTCCTCCTTTGAATAGTAATATGCCCTCACTGCATCCACATTGTCGTGCTTAATTTTCCCCACAATCTCCATCTGCTGTTCAAATTCTCGTTTTCCAACTGTGACCTCCTTCAATCTCTTGACCACCACAGTGGTTGCATCCTCTAGAGCAGCCCTATATGTCATACCAAAGGTGCCCTTTCCAAGAATCTCAGCAGATGCTCTCAACAGGTCCTCTAGATCAAATGCAAAATTGCAACCCTCAAAGAAAACAATTTTGTTGTTTTTGTCTTGACTTCCTGAAGAATCTGTCTTCACAGAGGCTTGTTTTTTCTGTGATTTCACTGGTTGCACATCCACATCTGCATTCTGATAGCAGCACACAATCATGAAACCAGCAATCACAGCAAACCCCAGCGCACAACCACCGATGATGATGCCCAACAATGCAGGTTCACTGAGTCCTTTGGATTTCTTTGCCGTATGAGCAACCGGTGGCTTCACAGGAAAAGCTGGAGGGAGTGCATTTGCTGATGAAAGATTGTTACCAGCAAAGGCCGAACTAGGAAATCTGATTAGGGATTTAGGAACAATCCCACTAAGGTTATTGTTGGCTAAATTCAGGTCCTGCAGGCTAGGAATATTGAGATCAGGAATCTCACCTGAGAGAGAGTTATTGGCAAGGTCTAATGAGGTGAGATGAGTCAGATTAGAAATTGAAAAGGGGATGCTTCCATTGAAAGAATTGTTGGAAAAATTGACAACACTAAGGCTATTCCAAACTGAAAAATCCAATGGTAGTGGCCCAGAAAACTTGTTAAATTGGAGATAGAGGCTGGTCAAATTCTTCAGCTCAGAGAAACCATCAGGGAAAGGGCCTGTTATACCATTTGATCTAAGACTCACAATCTCAAGTGCTGAGAGGCGACTGAGAGTGTTGGGAGGGATTGAACCACTCAAACCAGCCCCTGGCAATCGAAGGGCTATAACTCTTGACTTGTCAGAATTGCAAGTCACTCCTCTCCAGCCTTGGCAAACTGAAGTGTTCTCATCCCAATTGACATGAGGAGAGTGATTCATGTTGTCAAGGAAATCAAGCAAAGCTTGTTTATCTTCCACTGGCTCAGCTCCAACACTATCAAAAACTGCTTCCATCACCAAGGCTGCTGAAAAAATGAACAAGATGGCTAGTTTCTTGTCCATTTTCTGGCTTGAACAGAGAAGATCAACAGTTCAACTCAACTTGGATGCAACGTAAGACCTCCACTCAAGATATTGGTTACCTTTACAAGAAGGGATTAATTAGAGAAATAATAAACAGGAGTATTTTCGATATATACGCAAACCCGAATCAAAGAGTCAAAAGACAATTGTGTATGAGACATTTTTGTATGTACCGTGTGAGTTTTACTATACTAAGTAGTAGTATCTGTTGGGTCAAAATAAGCAGCTCTTGTTTGACCAGGAAATTAACCTTATTAACATTATTTTTTGGTTCACCTACTCGGTTGGTTTTCCTTAATGACTACAACAAAAACGATGCAAACCTAAACTTTGAAACTAAAAGTCAGATTAATAGGCAGCCAATAATAAGTAACAACCCGCAGAAGACCAGGACTTTTGAGTTTTGACAGCACACAAAAATACCACTATAAAATTTGTTTGGATAAATTTTTCCACATATTTCTAAGAAAAAAAAATGAATTTTTTTTTTATAAATTAAAATTAGTTTATATAGTTTATGCATAAACTAATGAGTAGAGACCCTTAAATTAATTTCTCCACAAAATAAAAACTTATTTTTAACTCATTTGGAACCGATTAGAAACATGAATAGTAGAAATATTTTCAGTCTGTGTACACAAGAAAAGTATTAAACATATTAAATTTTTAGGTTTATTCTTTCCTTGAGCTTTGGAACTAATCCAAGGGAACAGAGATATAAAGCTAAAAAGGAAGAGAACATGACAGTTGAGACATAACATAAAGAGAGAAAATGGAATACTTACGAGTCACTTCTTGATCCAAAAATTGAGCAAACTAGTTAAAGATCCAGAGACAGAGAGCCATATCCTCCAAAACCATAGTAGGAATCTTGAAGAAGAAAGAAGTGGGGGGTTAGCTAGAAAAGCAGTAGGTCCAGGACCGTATCAGATACATGTCCATGTTGTTTCAGAAGCAGTTAGAAGAAGGAAATCCAAACTGGGGTCGTTGCAATGATTGTGTATTGGTAGAGATGCAAAATGAGCTGTATTTGCTTGCGCTAACAGCAGTGCCACATGCAATTGAAGTAAGAGAAACTCATTTGGTAATCATTTACAAACCAATGGCTAGATACTATTATTTTATGCCATACAAATCGGAGGGTGCATATGCAGAGTGTGTTTTAGAGTAATGAAACAACTATGCAGGCTTGTATATATTTATTATATTTTTTATGCACGCTTTATATAATGTAATATATATATTTTTACACAGAGAACCTTCCTAAGCTGGTTGTAACTCTTCCTACGTATGGATATTGCTTGAATCAGTTATAGAAGTGTTTGTTGAAATAAATGCAAATTAAAAAAAAAAATTGTTGCCACTGAGGAAGGGACGTTCACTGTTCATTTCTTCCCACTCCCTTTCGTCGTTAAAAGCCATGGTTAAGAATCTTAAGATAAGATCTTTCTAGAATTTCTTTTGACCAAGTTTAAACAAAGCAACCATGTAGCATACCCTAAACATAGTAGATCGTGGAGGGTCATTAAGTTCTTAGTTCTAACGAACACAATAAAAAATATTAGGCAAAGGATTGTCATTTACTAACTCTGAATGAAATATTTATTTGACATTAGTGGTAATTAAATCCTCCGGGCTGTATACTATATATAAGTTAGTCAATTAAGCAACTGTTTGAATTTCATTTATAATTGATTTCGTTACTAAGTTTTGATGTTATAAAATAAATTGAAGTAATGAAAAAATCTCTTCGGCAAGTGCTAGAAATTATATATTAATGGAAAACGAAATCAGTTATTACATCGAAAGCATAAAGGATATTTAAATTTAGTAGTTATTTTTTGTTGGGGGTACTTTATATATTAATATTTATTTATTAAGTAATGTTATGTTCCTTTTATAATATTTTTATGTTAATCCTTCCGATAGTTTTTTAAAAATATTGAAGGAAAAAATAAATTTATTTGATATTTAAAAAATAATGTTTTGTTATTTAGTAAAATATCTAATTAACAAAATATTTAGAAATATGTTTATACTCATTATTTTCTTTTTATTTGTCATTTGAAGTTACAAAATCATATATAAACTAATAAATTTAAAAAGATATATATTTTCTATGTTAATCCTTCCAATACTTTTAAAAAATGTTGAAGGAAAAATTATAGTTATTTAATGTGTATATATATATATATAAACAATGCTCTTATTTAGTAAGCAAGAGAAATAATAAAGAAAATATTAGAAGGAGATTTATAAATGTTTTGTACTCGTTATTTTCTTTTTATTTATCATTTAATGTTATAGTATATAAGTTCAGAAAATCACTAAGTTCATAAATTTAATTAATATTTTCATTTATATCAAAATTGTTTCTATTCTGTTCATATGTTTTCTATATTATTATTATTATTATTATTATTATTATTACATTTTTTACAACTTCATTTCTTTTTAATTCTTCACAAGAATATGAAATAATTAAAATATATAGTATTTGATGTTATTTATTCATAATATTTCTTTGATTATACTATAGCAAGAGATTATTTATTTATAAATGTTTGTATTATTTATAAATACGCATCACCCTTGATTTTTTTTTGCTAATATAAATACGAAAATATGAAAAGTCAGCCTCTAATTTTTTTATGGCAATAACACTGTTGGCCACATGCTCCTCTCAATCACCTAAGGTCAAAATAATAAGAGAAAGATTAAAATAGGTTGCGGCTGTAACCACCGAAAGCAATAAGTATGCATGCATTATGTAATGTTTTGATAAAATAAAAAAGAAGGGTTGTAATTGATAGTGGCGTGTTAGAATTAAGTAAAATAATTGGCATGAATATAATATAAGTGGTGACTCGTGGGTGGTGCTTAGGGTTAGGGCCATGACAAAACAAGTGCATGGGACGTGGTACAACTACAACAACAGGTCAAACTCATTTTCTGCACTCTGCACATTCTGCTGCCAGTGCCATGCCATCTCATCTAAAACAATAAAATAAAAGTATATAGTTCCATCCATCTTCATTCTCCATGCCATGCAACCATACGCATTAATTGATACACCAGATAATGACAATATTAGCCCCTGCGTGAGCCAAGCAACAATCACGCTTATGTGCAAATACATAGATAATCACATAACTAAACATCGTACCTATAAGACTTTGTTAAGGATTAAAATACTGTAGTAATCATACATATATATCGAGTCCTTCACAATATGGATATAACTTCATTTATAAGAATTGCAACTTGCAACAAAGGCACGGGCCCATGACAAGAAGCCCAAGATGCAGAACAATGCAAAAACAACAAACTATACCACAGTACACTACTGGTGGTGTCTAGCCACTCTACCGGTGTAATTTTGTTTCAAAATTTTCTTTAATGGATAATTTTTTTTTTTTAAAAATCCTAGAAATAGGTAAGTTGTATTTATTGTACAAGAAATTTAATGTAAAAATTATGTTTGAGAACACAACTTCCCTATTTATAATTTTAAAATATTTTTTAAATTTATAAATCAAAGTCGTATTTAATAATATGGCTTTCGTAAATACTCATCTTCAAAAATTAGGCTTTTATTTCTTTAATTTTTTTACAAAATAGTAAAATCGTGTTTACTCTCACGACTTTTTTAAAAAAATAATAAACAATAGGAGTTGAGATTAAAAACACGATTCTCCCTTCAAAATGAAAATTATTGATCTTCAGATTCAAATCCAAATTTTATGTTAAATCTAGTCATGCAACAAATCACATCTGAAAGGAAGTATTAGTCGTATACAAAATGAAATCGATCAACCAATTCAAAACGAGCTAAAAAAATGTTCACTTGTCAAATTGAAGGACATAAATTTAGTAATTATCCTTTTAAAGAAATTAATATGTAAAATATTGTCTTCTAATTTCCTTATATGCCTAATTTAAATTTATGTTAATTGTAATGTATCTCTTTAATATTATTATTATTATTATGTTTATATTATAATTAATAATAACTATTGATATAATATTTATTATTAATAAATTTTTTATTTTTAATTTACTATTATATAAAAAAAATTTCTAGCCTGACCTACCATAGGTGGGTGGGCCATATGGGTCAGCCAACCAATCTACCAAAAAAAAAATTATCAACAAAATTCAAATTTTTAAATTAACTATAAATTAACATAAGAGCATCTATAATGGGAGTTGCTTATAAGTAACTCCCAACCACTTTAAATGGGTTCCACTATACCACATCACTCATAAACAACTCATACTATATTTTTACAATTTTTGCCCAAATGAAAATTGATTATAAGCACCCCTACTTTTTTACAACTCATACTACACTTTTTTGACACCTCACACTACATTTTATGATAAATTTTTATAAAATTAATTATTATGAATAATATATAAATATAAATAATAAAAAAAGAAATTTTATAATAAAAAAATTATAATAATAAAAAGAATTACATAATAAAAGAAATTACATAATAAAAAAAATTATAATAATAAAAGAAATTACATAATTCATTTTCTGTTTATCACCTTCCCTCAACGTCTCTTTTTCTTCTCTCTCAAATTTCTCATTCTCACCCTTCACTCTCTCTCTCTTTCAAAGTTCCACCTAGGATACGGAGTCTGGTGGGGCTGAGTGGCTCGCACCAGATGGGGCTGGTCGGGGGGAGACTTGTGCGCGGCTGACGGGGATTGGTGGGGCGGAGCCACGCGCCCTAGAAGGGGTCGGGTCAGGCGGAGCGCGCGCAAGAGGGGGCTGGTCGGGGGGAGCGCGTGCCTGCTGCTAAAGGGTCTAGTCGAGGATTGGGCGCGCAGCTGGGGTGTTCAATGGGGGTTTTCGCGCGCGCGACTGAGGGGTTTGGTCAGGGGTTCCGCGCGGTCGGTCAGGTGGTTGGTCGGGGGTTTCCGCGCGGTAGAGGGGATCCGGTCAGGGGGTTCTGCGCGGTGGAGGTTTCAGACATGCATGCGCTCGGAGGGAGTCGACCAAGAACAATAACAAGTGCCACGTATGTTTAAGAACCGTTGCTTCTACAAGCAACAAAGCAAAAAATTTAAGCACCCTTGCTGCCTTGTATGTCTACTCCAACGGGAAGTTCTTGTAAGCACCATTGCTTACAAGTAAGACACACTAAGCACCTCCCATTGGAGGTGCTCTAATAGTCTTAAAATTAGCATCATTAATAGTCATAAGTCATAACTCATTATACAAAATTAAATACAAATCATGATATAAGTCCAAAATAGAAGGTTTCAATGTCTCATCATACAAAATTAACTATAGACCATAATCAGAGTCCAAACTCCAAAATAAAAAGTTTCAATGTTTCATCATACAAAATTAACTACAAACCATAATCAAAGTCTAAACTCCAAAATAAAAAGTTTCAATGTTTTATCATACAAAAGTCTTGGAAAATAAACTTAATTAGAGTCTTGCATGAAAATGTCAATAACAATTTCTTCTCTTTGCATATCCATTTTATCTGCATCTACAAATAGGAAAAAAAGTGTTAGGATGAGCTATTGTAAAAATAAATAAGAAAGTTCTCATTATAAAAATTACCTAATTCTTTAAAACCATACAACCAATTTTGAGTTAGAATGAGTAACTCTACATTTTCAGGAAGAATGGTAGAACGATACTTAGTTAGCATCCGAGACCCAAGGTTAAAAGCGAATTCACTAGCAACTGTAGTGATTGGAATACTTAGCATATCACAAACCATCCAAGAGAGATTTGGATAACGATCATAACGATCCCTCCAGTAAGCTAACACATCTAACTTTTCATGAAACTTTGGATCAAGATTTTCTTTCTCCAAATATAGAACCAATTCAGATTTTTCATCAGCAGTAGCATTGTAGCTCAAATAATTAACATATTCCTAAGACATTACAAGAAAAAGAAATTCAATATTCAATGATAATTACTAAATAAAAATGAAATTAAATAAAGTACTTTAAAAAATTATTAACTTACATCAAAGGTATCAAGTACTTGCCCATCATCTGTATATGAAATTAGTTGTGGTGGAAGAAGAGACACATTAGAAGTTGAAGCATTTGACTCATTT